TGATGGCAGATGAGATTCTGCCGAAACGTTGCTACAACTTTAAAAGCACAACTACAATGACGTGGGAAAATACCCGAACAAAGCTGAATGCCATACATGTAAGTACCCGCAAAAACTTAAGAAAACAAATATATATATATATAGTTTCTTGACTGACATCAAAGTGATGTCAACATAAGCATTTTATCCAGTTGTCATTGCTGATACTTTCTGCCCTCAACAGATTTCTAGTGAATGAATATGCCACCTTGTATTAAAGGATAAGACTCCAGGACCCAACCACTCAATTTTATTGATAATAAGTGGTTTTTTCCATTGCTTTCATCTTGGATGATTTTCTACTTCCCCATGTAACTAGCTATCTCCATTTTTCTGCCAGAGCAATTCCAAAGCATGTGGTTTATTTCCATAACATTCACATTTTCTGGGTAGACATTCGCTGCCTTTCTTAAAATTTCCTCCCCTTTCAACAAAGGCCAACAAATCAAAGGGGTTCTCCCTCACCATCCTTCCCCCTCTGTCCCTTTCGTACCTCTCAAAGTTGAGATAGGACCCCTAGTTCTCTAATTGTCAAGATCTCAGTGGGAAAAACACCCATGCCTTCTTTCTCTAAAGTGAAATTGATTTATTAACACACAAATTTTAAGGTACATATTAATATGGAATGGAACACATTACATAATAGTCCAAATGAACATGAAATGTTCACTCTGACAATCTCATCCTCTCACATCCACCCCATTCACTATATACATATGTGGACCTCACCCCATTCCTAAGAGGTCCTTAAAGGGGGCGTGCATAAGTGCACCAGCATGCCTACTGTCTCTGTCTTGCTGTCCCCATTTATCTGTATTTACTTCCTTTGTTCTTGTTTATGTTCATACTTATACTTGTTATCTTGTACATGTTTGACAAGCAAATAAATAAAATAAAATAAAATAAAAACATCAGCATTAATGTGCTGTTTTCCCTCTTAAGCTAAGAACATTTGATGATAGCAGCAGGATGTGAGATATCTTTGCTGTTCATTACATGAGAGGCAAAATCAGATGATCCGTTGTGCATGGGATCAGAGAGTTATTCATTGTGACCATCCTAAATTAAAACATATCCAAAGATGCTAAGGAATTCCTGGAAGCGTGGCACTCTGACAATATGGCCATCAGTAGATACATAGATATAAACAACATCTACTTAGTGTACAAAAGAGATAATCAACAAGCCAAAAATGGCACAAAATGATGAAAACACCTCTCTACCAGCAATCAGCAACTAGATGAGCATAGATTAGCAAGATCAATATCAGAGCAGCAATCAAGTAATCAATATCCCAATCAACTGCCAAACAAGCTAATTGTAAACAACCCAACCGAAGAACCTCCAAGACCACTCCAACACTGACAGGTCAAACCACTAGTAAATTATGAGCAAATCTCATTCCTTGCTAGCACTGATGATGTTACCTAGTTTGGGTAATGAATCGTCTGCAAGAAAATCAAGCTCAGAGAGCACAAGGACCCCTCATTTCAACTCTGGCCTACAAATATTCTCCAGTTTCAGACTGATGCAGACATGTGTCCGCTTCCCACAAGCCCTGTGAGAAACTGGGGAGCAGGTGGAGGGGAGAAGTTTTTGCACATGCATGCGCAAAACGTAATCACCGAATTGCTAGTAATGCCAATTGAATCCCACCCCTGCTGTGAAGCGGTATATAAGTCTAAGTGCTATTGCTGTTACAATTGCCTCTCAGAGAGCGTGATAGATCTGAAAGTTATAATTTGTTGCTTATATAAAGAAAAGAGAGAAAGCAGAGAGAAATCCTAAAAAAGAGCTGTTTGTGACTCAGCCAGCTTTGTGACGCTGATCTTTTCTATTTTTTACTTTTTAGACTTAACTCAGCTTTGTTTATAACAGAATAAGATGTTAGAGAGAAAAAATACAGGGAGACATCTATAGTCAAAAAACTCCCCTTTCATGCTGGAGTGCTATGACTGATAGATGTTTTTACCAGCACCAACATCTTTGAAACTATTTTATGAATAGAAGAGCCATTTTCCTTTTTTAACTGCAAGGAAGTCTTTTTTTTTCTGTTGGAAGGTTGCCTGTTTCAAGTCACTGGAACCACTGAATTGTGGTTTCACCAATAAATTATGTTAACTGAAAGCTAACCAGTCCTTTGTATGTTTTATAAGGGACCATATGCTAACAGTGTAACATTTATGCATGTAGACAGAGCTAAATCTGTATATTAAGAGCAAGAGTTTTAGATTGTGCAGAAAAAATAAACTGAATAAAATGAAGTATAAACAGAGCCCATGCATCAGTTCTCTCTTATCTTAAATATTTTGTTTTTTACCCTTTTCATTTTTCTTTCTTTGTCTGTGTTGCCATATATTGAATTTTCAGCATGGGCAGAGAAGTGGAAGAAATTGTCAGAGCAAATGGGTGTGTGCCAGCAACTATTGGCATATTAAATGGCCGCATTCATGTAGGCTTCCAAGATGAAGAACTTGAAATCCTTGCAACAGCCAAGGACATAATGAAGGTCTCTCGCAGAGACTTCCCCTATGTTCTCAGCCAGGTACTTGATGGATTTCCTCATTATTCTAATTTGCTTGTGCTACCTAAATAATTCAGGGGTAAGGGTCAGTTGGTGGAAGTTTTCCTGTGAGTTAATATGCAAAACAAGTACTCAAACAGATGAGTGAGTGTTTTTTTTGACAGGGTTAAGCAAATTATCTCCAGTTGGCTAGAGTTTGGTGAATTTGCCTTGGGCTTTTGAAACTTTGGAAATGCTATTTCCAAGCAAATATTTGTCATTTCATGTTGAGATACACTTGAATTTCATTTATGGACTTGCTACTCTCTACTGTTTAAGGAAACTAATTATCAGAAGTGCAGTCAGACACAGACAAGCAATAATGTCTACAGAAAAGTTGAAAATAATCAGTACAATTTGTTTCTTAGTTGAGAATGGTCTCTGTCTACAAAGAGATTGAAGTCTCCTTTATACCATAAGCCAGGTTATTTTTTTAGTTGTTTTGTGACCAGACATCTTGGCATTCTTCTGTAAATAAGTAAGCCACTTATAGAAGCTATTTGATGACATGCCTTATGAATGTACTCTCAGCATTCCAGATGTATCCACCAGCCCAAGCAGTTGCCTTTTCCACCCTTCTCACATTCAGCACAACGTTTTCAAAGAGTGCCTTCATTTTCTAGGGAATCTAAGCAGCCCAAGAGCAAGCTTTTTACACTGGAGTCAGCAACATTGGCATTGCCACCCTGATTTTCATCCAGCCTATAAAAAGGAGGCAAAAGGCTGCTTGACTCCATGTGAGTATGAAAAGGAACATTAGTTCTCAGACTATCTGTTTTGTTTATGCTTGGAAGTTACCATACATCCGGTAACCTCATGTTTGCTTTTCAATTCAATAGAGTCATAAAACCTTAAGAGTTGGAGAAAGGGCTCAGGTACCCTTTCAGCATCTTGAATCTGACTGGCAATGAAGGAGTTCTTTTCACTTCTGAGTAGTACCTACTATTCAGAGGTTTCTCCTAATGTTCCACAAGACAGGGCTTTTTCTGCAAATATTATTTATAAGTTTTAATCTCAGTGTCCAAGGCAACAGAGAACATGTCATTTGTGCAAGAGCTCTTCAAATATTTGAAGTCTTTATTATGACACCCTGTAATTTTTCCTCAGCTATTCTTCCCACACTATTTATTATCACCATTGCCTGAATGTCTAGGAGAAAAACATTTGGGAATAAAGGCAGGTCGTTGTTATCAAAGATAATGCCATAAGGCAAATACGAAGCATTGGGGTTTAAAAGTGCTTTGTTTAAAAAACGGAGCTTGACTGTTTTTGAGGAAGAAGATGCTTCACTTCTTCCTCAAAAAACAGTCCAGTTGCCTTTTAAAAATAAAGCACTTTTGAGAAAACTATGATCTGGATAACTGAAAATCTTCATAGATGTATTGGAGTTTAACTGAATTTTTAGACTGAATTGGCATAGGATTCATTCACACATTGCACTAAACCATAATGTTATCTTTTTCTCTTCAGAATAATATAATAATCTAATGTTTTAGCTTAGCATTGTAAATGAAAGCCATTACGGATTGTTCAACAAAGCATGATTTTAAAAATTCCCAACTTTATTTATGAAAACATTCCAACCATTCACACATATCACTTATTGCTTATTTGAAAAATGTGAAATCTGAATAATCGTTGGTTGTTCCATGACAGGGATTGTCTGGGGGAACTACTGTGGCGGGAACCATGATTGTGGCACACAAAGCAAGAATTCCAGTATTTGTAACTGGAGGAATTGGAGGGGTCCACCGGGGAGGAGAAAAGAGTAAGACAAACATCATTTTAATTACAAATCAAAGCCTTAATTCCAAAATGCTGTGTTACAAAACCATCTACCTTTTTGTTATCCCCTATTGATGGAGCCCTAGTAGGACACCAAATACTTATTTGTTGTTGTGCTATTTCAGCATATATCCTTCTCTACAGCTGGCTGAGTAACTAATGTACATAAATGTAAATACATAAAAAGACATAAACTTCACTTCTTCAAAATGTTTAATATATTTTCCTTTGTTCAGTGTTTCTGTATAATGCATTTTTCACTGAACCTTGCATATAATATTTATAAAGATTTCCAGTTATGGGTTCCCAAATAATGAATGCTAAAAAAAGACTTCTGACAGAGCAGTGGGGAAATCCATTTCTACTTAAGCACCAAACTAAACAATGTATCAGATTTATTACATTTAAAGAGTGTAATAAATTTATTATTAATGCATTTATCTTTCAAAAACTGCTGTTTTCAGGGATGTAGGGAATCAGCAAAGAAGATGAACATGCAGATCTACTGTGATGGAAATTCTAATGGGAATCGGCCCCATGGTGATCAGTTTTATGACCGGGACTGCAATTGCAAAAAATCCCTGTATATCCCTATTCATTCCATAGATGGGGAACTTCATTTTTGCTTTGTCTGAAATTGACAATTCATTTAGAATAGGAGAGAACAAGCATCTTGGGCATTTGACCTCTTGTTCTCAGTCCAAGGAAAGGCGGCCTGTTTTGTTGATGGAGTAGCCCAGCTGCACTAACTTTTCAGCACTCCTCTACTCGTTGTAGAATACCTTATGCCACCAGACTTGAAATTCTAGAACTAGAAAACCTTGAATTACGCCGTCTTCGGTCTGACTTAAGCATGGTATATAAAATCATACATTGCAATGTCCTACCTGTCAATGAATACTTCAGCTTCAACCATAACAACACAAGAGCACACAATAGATACAAACTCAAAGTTAACCGCACCAAACTTGATTGCAGGAAATACGACTTCAGCAATAGAGTGGTCAATGTCTGGAATACTCTACCCGACTCTGTAGTTTCTTCCCCAAACCCCAAAAACTTTAACCTTAGACTGTCTACTATTGACCTCACCCCTTTCCTAAGAGGTCTATAGGGGGTGTGCATAAGCGCACCAACGTGCCTACCGTCCCTGTCCTATTGTTTCTCTTATTCTTCTTTTATTTTTCTTATATGTACCCATTTCATGTATTCACAACTATGTATACACTTATACTTATTATCTTGTAAACAATTGGCAAATCAAATAAATAAATAAAATAAATAAATAAAAACTCTTTTTAATAGAATAATAGAATTTTGGAAGTTTTTAATTTTGGCATCCCAGTCTAGTGCCAACTCAGTCTTAGCCTGAAGCAATCTCTGACTGAGGGAAATGGATCATTAATAGAATAAGGCAACTTCATGTGGAAGGATAAAATAGATTCCTTCCATTCCCCACCATTCACTTAAAACTGAAGAAGTTTCTTGAATGAGAAGTGAAATTTTTTCAAGGAAAAAAAACAACAAGAAAGTTCGATTGCCTTTTACAAATGTACCTTTGGGGAAATTTCATATACTATTATTTCATTATAGCATTTTAATATTTTTCTCCTGAGAAGTGTGAAAATAATTGGGTAATATTTGAGAGGTTCCTTCAGAATTTGTATTTATATTTTATCCTATTTTTTTCAGCTTTGGATGTGAGTGCTGATCTGACTGAGTTAAGTCGTACTCCAGTTGCTGTAATTTCTGCAGGTGTTAAGTCTATACTTGATATCGGCAGGACACTGGAGTATTTGGTAAGCTATAAAATTATAGAATTTCAACATAATCATTGGCTCAATGTCTCAAAATGTCAGGCCTGGTATGTTAACAAGTAGGATCTTTGTCCATTTGAAGGAGAGATTGAAGTGATTTGTGGGTAATTGGAGTTTAAATATATTTTAAAATGCATAAAATGCTGGACAGTACTTTTTCTGTGGCAATGTTTTGTTGTGGAAACCTATTCTTGTTTAGTTTTAGAAGATGGCCAAACATTTTTGCTGAATGGTCTTAATCAATTTACAAGTCTGTAAATTTTAAATGAGATGTTTCCCTATTTTATTTGTTTAATTTGATATTTTATTGATCTTCATTTGTAATGCATTAGCTTTAAAGGGGGCAAATAAATACTGCTACTAAAAGTAATACATTATTTTAGTATAAAGTATAAAAATAAAATTAATATCCTTGTATTTCTTAGCAAATAGAGATGCAATTAATATTGTTTGCATGATTTGGTTATGGGAAGTGTTCCAGAATGCAGTGTTTAGACTATTGGAGGTTTGTCCCACCCTTGCAGGATACATATTAATTTTGAAGTTTTTGAATTGGTTGCCAAGACACATCTGGCCTAACTGAAAATGCTTGCTATTACTTGCAAAGCCTTTCACTGTACAGCTCCAAGATATATCAAACACCTGCATCTATGGAGTCCCAGGAACAGAGGTGGTATTCAGCAGGTTCTGACCAGTTCTGGAGAACTGGTAGCAGAAATTTCAAGTAGTTCAGAGAACCGGCATATACCACCTCTGACTGGAGATTTTACAGTATCCTTCCCCTGCCATGCCCACCAAGCCATGCCAACAGAACCTGTAGTAAAAAAATTTGAATCCCACCACTGCCCAGGGAACAAGGTAAATATGTTCTATGTCTCATATAATTGAACTAAATAATAAATACACTGTAGTTCAATCACATTGTAATTTCTAGTCCAGGATAAACAATGTTGTACATGTAATAGAAGTAATGTTCCCAACATTAAGAGATTGTTGTTATCCAATTTTTAAAAGAAGAAACCTGCACTGGGTATCAGCTTTTCCTTCTACATGGCATTGTGTCCTTTCAGTCCACCTTTCTTGTCTTACTTCTGCAGGAAACTCAAGGAGTCTGTGTGGCCACCTTTGGAAAATCAAGAGAATTCCCAGCCTTCTTCTCTCACCGAAGTGGCTTCCAGGCACCATACCAGGTGCAGGATGAGAAAGCTGCTGCTCAACTAATTGGTGAGCTGTCAGTAGAATAAGATGCATCTTGGATAAGTGGAATCTGAATGGAAGTTCAGCTGAGAAGCTTTTCAATTTCTCTCAAAAACTGCAAAGCTTTACACGCCTGGTGGAGGTCAAAAGCTCACTGACCTCAATAAGGTTTTCTTCTACATTACTACACCTAGGATCAAGCTAAAGCCACCCCAAATTTCCCCTTTGTATCTTCAGCTGTTCTGTCTCTCTTTCTCCTTGACATCTTCTGTTCTATCCTTCTATAGGCTTCGAATCCTATACCCACAACTGCCATTTTCAGCAATTCCCAAGGCCCAATTTGTATATACCACAAAATTAAGTGCTAAAAATGTTTCTGAACTGTATTGCAGTGGAAGTTGACATGTTGACTGCTGACTCTGCCCCTCTCAACCAAAACCTACCCAATGCCCACCGCCAAAACCCCACTGAAGGCTGGTGTAGTTCACTTCTTGTTTTACTGTTTTTTTGGTATGCATTTTTTCTGATGTAAGCATTGAAGCATAAAAATTCTTATATGAAATCTAAAGTACTACAGAACATGTAGAGCATGTTGATTCTGTTGAACTGCAGCCTTTGAACACTCAATTACTGTATGTTGTACAAAGCATGTGTTGTCTTTCTACAGACATCAAGGTCTCTTACTTCTACTGCTTTTATCTTTGCAATTCTCTAACCTATTGTTAGAATACCATTATATATTCCAATTTTATGTATTTTACAAGATCCCCATATCTATTCACTATTCCTTGTCCCAGTCAGGGTTTCTATTTTCATTTGATTTATATTCCACCCTTCTGGTCTGGCAAAGCTGTTAAAAAGATTTAAAACAAATAGAATATAAAAAATAACAATACAGATTCAATTAACAAATAAATACAATTAAAAAGAGGACAAAATAAATAAATTCAGATCTGTGAGTTGGAAGGGAGTTCAACTTTGAAGAGAATGCATTCCTTAGCATAAAAGAAATGCAGAAGAGGATTCCCTTCATGTTCCAGAAAGAAGAGTTTATGACATTTTCTTTCTTTAAAAGGTCTGTCCTAGTACTCTTCACATCTGTCAGGTTTATTGTTAAATTGGCGGTGCCAGGAATGTAGGCAAAACCTTTTAAACAGTTAACAGCGTTTATTCAACACAAACGGGTTACCCATGGCAGCCACAAGTTAACAAGTATGCGCGTGGTGGCAGGCAACAGCTGACGCCTTCTGACAGCTCTTTTTATATGGTAGCTGTCAGACCAGCCAGCCAATCAACAACGGCCCCAGCTCCCGCTTAAAATGCAGATGGAGGAGAGAGCCACATTGGAACGTAACATTTATCATGAGATAGACAATCTCTTAGAGACAGTTCTTCTCTTCTACCAAACGCAGACACTGCTTGATTAGGTAGAAAACTAGCATGAAATTTGCTAATCCCATGAATCATCATCCCCATCCTACCTCAACCTGTTGTAACTACTTGTATTTAGTATTTATTTGATTTGTCAATCGCTTACAAGATACATGTATATGAATAAATATAATTTTGAATACATGAGATAGATACTTATAAGAAAAATAAAAAACAATATGACAGGCACGATTGGTAGAGAGACACAAATACATCCTGGAGATTCCCCTTTGTCCCAAAATTAAAAAAAAATATTGATACATCTAAGGAACTTAAAGCTATCTCACTTGTTGCCTAGGAAGTAGGAGGTGAGATGAAGGCAATTTAATAGGTGCATGACTGGAAAACACATTTGCTAAGACATGTTTATGTCTTATAGTAGTTAGGTACATGGTGGGGGGGAAATAATAGACCCTAAGCAGTTTAGGACTTTAAAATATAATACAAGGACTTTAAATTATTCCAGGTAATCAGTTTGTAGCTATTGCAGATTTTTCATACAGGAATCCTATGATCCCCTCTATCTTACACTGGTAAACACATTTTGTACCAACTGTAACTTCTGGATACTTTACAAAGGGAGAACATTTGTTTTGTACTCTTTAGACTCTGCTGAGACTTTCTGTTCACTATTGATCTACAGCAGCATCCAACCATCACCAACATATCAGTTATGGCTTTATATTACTATGACTTAGTGACATTATAAAGCGTTGTAATCAGTAGTGAGAAATAGTGCAGTACAATGGAGGTAGAATGTGGAGATAAGGGGTGGGATTCAAATTTTTTAACAACTGGTACTGTGGGTGTGGCTAGGTGGGCATGGCTAGGTGGATGTGGCCATGTGACTGGGTGGGCATGGCTTCTTTTTGTTTGCAGCATCCCCCCAACCTGGTTTTTTTTGCCTCGTGGGCCTCAGGGAAGCCTCCTGAGAGGGCATTTTTGCTCCCAGAAGGCTTCCCTTGGGCCCAGGAAGGCAAAAAATGGGGCGGGGGTGCAGCATCCACCCCCTCCCCCGCACACCCCTTTTTGCCTCCTCAGCCTCAGGGAAGCCTCCTGAGTGAAGCAGTAAGACAGCGAGGGGATCCTGACACAGCTGATCATCAGAACAGCTGATCGTGGGGAGGGGGGGAAAGAAATATCTTAAGGAGTGACTGGGTGGGGGAGAACGCAGTCAGCAATGTTGGGCATGCGCGCGATGTCATGTATGTGCAATAAGTACTGACTGGGCAGGGAGGGGGTGAGTGGAGAGGGGCGGATGGAGGGGCAGGTGGAGAGGGGTGGAGCCAGCCAGGATCATGGTTTGCCAGTTCTCCGAACTGCGCAGAATCATAACAACCGGTTCTATAGAACCAGTCCAAATCGGTAGAATCCCACCCCTGGTGGAGATCCATGTTGTTTTCACTTTCAGCCACAGTTCTGATTGGCCCAGTCTATCTCAGCCTTTTGTTCTTTGCGTTACGTTTGAGACACTTTTGTGCCATGTCTGTTTGTTTGCTTTTTTTTGTTTATTCGTTCAGTTTGTAGGGTCACCCATCTCAACAAATGATTCTGAATGGCTCCATATATCGTGCACGGGACATTAACCATTGATTGAATTGTTTAATAAAGATAAGGCCATGGTCCAACAAAGACTCTCTTTTTTTCTCAGCCAGGTCATTAACTTTGCAGCTGGGCAGTGGAGTCCTGATTGCCGTTCCCTGTCCTCCACATGAAGCTGCTTCTGGGCAGCTTATTGAACAAACAATCCAGCAAGCTTTGGATGAAGCTCAGTAAGATTATTTTTTAATACACTATCAATTCATGTATTAACAGCACAGTAATAGGCATGCAAAATCTCCAGTTCAGACCTATTCAAATGCAACAAAGGGGAAAAAAAGGAAAAGAAAAAATAACAACTAGCGGAGTGACATAACCCAGTTTTTCATATATATTTTTCTTTTTCTTCTGAAGAAGGCAGGGTTTTGGGGAGAAATAAAAATATGACAAAAACCAGATGGCACTATTAGCCTTAACAGGGATGGAAAAAACAACGGGGTGGGGCATAAGAGGGAGAAAAAAAGCAACTTACGTTTGACAAAGGAAATATGGTGACTGGATTTTTTTTTCTAATTCCAAATTTTTTAAAAAAAACAGCATGGGAAAAATATAGTACTGCTTTATAAAGCCTTAGTAACACTGCATCCAGTATTGGCCACCACATTACAAAAAAAGTGTTGCGACTTTGGAAAAAGTGCAGAGAAGAGCAACTAAGATGATTAAAGGCCTTCATAAAATGTACGAAGAACAGTTGCAGATTTTGAGCATGGCTAGCCTAGAGAAAAGAAAGACAAAGGAGGGCATGGTAGCATATTCCAGTATTTTAGAGGCTGCCACAAAGAGGAGGAGGTCAATTTATTTTCCAAAGCACCAGAGGGAAGGACAAGAAACAATGGATGAAAACTAATTAAGGACAGAAACAACCTGGAATTGAGGAGGAGCTTCCTAACAGTGAGGACAATGAACCAATGGAACAGCTTGCTTCAGAAGTTTTGGCTGCTTCATCCCTGGAGGTTTTTAAGAAGAGACTGGAGAGTCACTTGTCTGAAATAGAGTCTCCTACTGAAATAGGGGGCTGGACTAGAAGTCCTCCTAGGTCCCTTCCAGCTTTATTCTGATTGAAACTTACTTTGCACTATTCTGATTAATTAATAAGCCCATGAGACACCTTTTACATTTTATCTTTCATCACTTTGTCTCAACCCAACCTCCCAACTGTAACGTTGCGACTTGATCATTCTGATATTTGAGGTTAAATATATACTGTAGTGATTATATATAGGAGGTTCTTTGAGTATTCAGCATCAGAGCAATGTAAATTCTAGGAGTGTTAAATTTTAAACTAAACAGCAAAGGGGTCCAAATCTGTACAATGGCAGATTATGATTCATGATCCCAAAAGGAAAGGGATTGGATTGCAACGTTGTGTCCTATAGATTCAATACCATCACCCTACCCCCATGGACACCACTGCCTCCAAGGAAGATTGTTTTTGGGTGTTTACTTTTGTACATGCCCAGGAATATTTTCTAACTTTTTTCTAACTTCTGCAACAGTAGGCAAAGTTAAAGTAGTGGATTGTCTACTTTAGATCTCTTACTGTTTTGTTTAAAGACAATATTTGGGCCATAATACCGATAGAGGGCTAAATCTTTCTCCTTGGGACATTTCCCCACAATTCAAAACTTGCCAGCTTAATTCAAAGGAAGAGACACTCGTGCGTTTTCATTCATTGAACATTTCAGCTTCAGGGACAGGATGAACTAAGTAAATAATGCTGGGATCCCAGTTCAGATTGCTTTCCCCAATGTTCACAGTTTGAGCAGTTGCAATCACAAATCCCCTCCTGTGTATCCTGTCAAAAATGTATCATCCTTGAGGAAACTTTTTTCAAGGTTCCTCCCAATCAGAAGTGTTTTGATAAGAGGTTTTTTTTCTTTTCTTTCTTTCTGCAAAATATCTAATTCTGTAAATGGATTAGCTATCAATCATGCAAGGCGCTATGCTTGTTGTTCCACTTACAGGAGAAAAAAGGTCAAAGGGAAGGAGCTCACACCCTTTTTGCTGCAGAGGGTAAATGAGTTATCTGGTGGAGAATCACTGAAGTCCAGTATCCTTTCCTAATCCCACAGCATCTTCTGCAACTTTTCAATCTCTCCTCCCCTCAAATACAACTTCATGATTTCTTCTTGCTCTATCCATACAGGGTTCTGCAATATTGCTACCTGACCTGTCCTTCAAAAGTCACTGAGTCACACCCAAAGCATGTTTTTACTGATCTCAACTGAAGTTGGAGTAGCAAAACAGCTCAAATTGCTCTGAGGGTAGGCAACCAAGGGAAGCAATCAGAAAGCAAAGAATATTTTATTTATTTATTTATTTATTTGATTTGATTTGTCAATTGTTTACAAGATAATAAGTATAAGTGTATACATAGTTATGAATACATGAAATGGGTACATATAAGAAAAATAAAAGAAAAATAAAAGAAACAATAGGACAGGGACGGTAGGCACGTTGGTGCGCTTATGCACGCCCCCTAGAGACCTCTTAGGAAAGGGGTGAGGTCAATAGTAGACAGTCTAAGGTTAAAGTTTTTGGGGTTTGGGGAAGAAACTACAATAAGAATAGGGGCAGTATGGAAGCAGGCATGGTTCCTCCATCTGTGAGACACAAGACCATGAATCTAAATTGCTCCTTCAGGAAAGTCATAATTGAGAAGTTATTCCTATTTGCAGAATGTTTATGGTAATTTACAGCCAGATCGTGTCAATGGCAAAGGTATAGATAGGGTTTTCCACATTGGGCTTCCCAAAACACCAGTTTACCAGTTTGGTTTCTTTGTTGTTTATTTGCTGTAACAATAGAAATTGGTATTCGTTTTTTTCTAGAAGAGACTACCATAGAAACCTGACTCTCCTTGCCATTAGCAAAAATCCTTAGTCTCCCTTTTGGCTTGGAAGATATCTGTGTTTTAGGCAGAGTAGTTGGATTTTGGGGGTCAAGTAAGAGCATTTGTGAGAGGAAGAGGTTCATTTATGCAAAATACAAATTCATACTTCCCTGTTCATCTTGGAATCCAGAGTCCCTAGAAAGAATGTCTATGTGCAAATTTGAGCCAGTCTTTTGCAAAAAACAACATTTAGAAAATCTTCATTGGAAACAGAAACGATTAACTTGATCTGTGGCACTGTGTTGATAAGCAGCAGACCTTCCAACCTAGAGTCGATGAAAAGATTCCAGTGGAGTCCTTCATCCTCTACTAATAGGTATGCATGACTCAACTGTTTTGCTGTGGTGTTTGCAGAAATTGGACCAGATGGGAATTCAAAACTCTTTTTGATCTTAAATTCTTATGGCAATCATTTTTAAAAATCCAGTAAGCGTGTTTCATGATTGGTTGATATTTCTTCCTGCATCGTAATAGTAGAATCAGAAGATACTAGGATGGCCATCTATGTTACATGACAAATATTGTGTATTTGTATAAATTGTCTTGTTTCGTTCTAGCTCAAGTTTAGCCTGTGTATATGTCAGTATATGTAAATTTTAATGCAAACGTTCCTTTTTTCTATAATATATTTTCTCTTTTGAAGTAATGTCTATATGGCCATCCCAGAAGGCATAAGAGTAGCTTTAGAAAACAGGGTGGGTTTTGAGGGTTTTGAGTTTTTCTTTTTCTTTCCTTGTTATTGTTAATTGCATAAATATCCCATCTTTTCTCTGAGAATGAAAGGTGATTTACACAAGAGTGAAACATTCCTTCTAATTTTATTCCTGTAACAATTACTCGGTGAGGTAGGATCCAATATAGGATCCCAGTATTCCACATTTGGCATCCTAATTACCATACCTTACTGTTTCAATTCTTGAGTTGTTATATTTTTCTTTCCTTTATCAATTGGTATCAGATATTGCATTGATCAAGAATAATGCCATAGTGGGCAGTCGTATTGCTGTAGCCCTGAATAAGCTCCAAAAAGGTCAGGGCAGGAGAGGCAGCTTGTCTCAAAATGAAAACATACCTGATGTGCCAAGACCAGTGAGTACTTATCCCTGTTTTTGCCTTTTTTTCAAGAGTTTTGGTGCGTGAATGATTGGCTGAGCTGGGCCATTCTAATTGTTAAAGTGTCTGAATCATTTAGGTGAAGGGTATCAATCTCAATTTAATTGAGGTCTGCATCAGGGCTGTGGTTGACCTTGGGGGGTTGTGGGGCATGGCTGACTGGGTGGCCAGGGCCAACTTGGTGGGCATGGCCAGCTTGACGCCACTCCTCAAGCTGCTGATATGTTTCCTCTTCACACTGGGTACACTGATCCGAAGTGATGCAGGCTGGCCCCTTACATTTTCCATCGTGGACCGGATACGGCCCGCGGGCATTGCATTTCACACCTCTGATTTAGGTCAATGTTTACTGTTTACTGTGTAGATGTCTTAGACTTAGACAAAGGATATTTCTACTGTCAACCAGCACTATTTACTGGACTATAGGCCATAGAAAAGCCTAAGATCTGATAGGAAAATAATTTTAGATAATGAGAGGCCCTGAGCAGCTAGTTGCTCTGCATTCTTGGAGCAATTTATCTGCTTAATTGAATATTCAATTTACACTTTAAAGTGGAAGAGCTGTAAAAGTCAAATAAAAGTCCAACTGAATGCTTGATAACATTTTCACATTCCTGTTTCCTTTTCAGGTAGTCATTGGTGGCATCAACATTGACATCATAGCCAAGGCAAAAGCTGCAACAATTAAAGTAATTGCAATTGCATTTAATAATATTCAGATTTTACTCTCCATTTGGTCTGTGACTTCAGAACTTGCTATCTTCTTTTCTGAATAAGAAGTATGCAGGCTGGACTGAGACAATAATAGAACATGGAGACCAAGTTAAATTCAAACTGCTTGTAGAATAGCAAGTAAATTTGAAATGCAGATCACCCACTGCCAGCATAAGCAAAGGAAAAAAAAAAAACATTTTTTAGAGTCTTCAGTCAAAAGTGCATATTGCTGACTATCCTCATTCTGACCACCAAGGCCGCCTATTCTTTAAAAAGACTTATATACAGGGTTCAGCACTCACTCCTTATATCAGCCTTGAAGCTGATCTCTCAAATTTTCAGAGACATTAAAAAAAATTAACCACAGAATAACAAACCAACAACACAGCCGCAGAAGTCAAAAGTCAAGAAGTCAAAAGGTTGAGACCCTCAATTTTTGGCGCAAAAGCAGCCTTTGTGTTAGAAACAAAGGCAGGGAGAAGCAGAACTCTGTATGCAATTCTAAGTTCAGATTGCTTAGGATCTGAACAACCAGTAAGTGAGCCTGAAGATCTAGAGGTCCACCACAAAACAAAGCCGAGGTTGAAGTCTGTTGGTCCATTTTATCCCCTGGTCAATCTGTATCCATTTGTTGTGATGGTGCTACAGTGCACAGAGGTTTTGCTCCTGGAAATTCACAGCTGAGATGCAGAAAGTAATTCCTATGACTTCTACCATCAAAAGCAATGAGTTGAGACCCTGGCCTCTTATGAAGAAAAAAAAAAACCACGGTGGGCCATCTTTTACAACGGATGGCAGCATTAAGTTAAACACCACATTGAAATGTATCGGCCAGGTTGATTGCAGGTTACAGATACTACTGATTCAAAAGTAATAGCTGCCCAGAAATCCCATCTAGTGGGAATATATTGCTAATAACATGAATCAAAAGCAGTGGAAATGTTTCATAGCAGATACTGCTTACCTAAGCAACGGCTTGAATAGAGATGTTTGCTTTGTTCTGTGCCTAGATGGAATATTTGGTGCCAGGTGATATAAAGACAACCTTTGGGAAAACCAACCATTGTTGCATTTCCAACTGTCAGTGATTTATCTGACAGGTGGCTCAACCGAAGAATAAAAGAGGTGCAGTAGTGAGTTTTCATTAACATGAACTATGAAAAACCTTCCTAATGCTTAGAGACAGAAAGAAAACACACACTATGATAAATGAACCCAGATGAAGTGTTATACTATACAGGTAGTCATCGACTTACAACAGTTCATTTAGTGACCGGCTCTGCAACAGCTCTGAAAAAAGTGACAACCATTTTTCACACTTATGACCATTATAGCATCCCCATGATCACCCAATCAAAATTCAGATGCTTAGCAACTGACTCATATTTACAACGGTTCCAGTGTCCCAGGGTCATGTGAACCTTTTTGGTGACCTTCTGACAAGCAAAGTCAATCGGGAAGCCAGGTTCACTTAATGACCGTGTTACTAACTTAACATCTGCAGCGATTGGTCTGCAGGAAAGATTGCAAAATGGGGCAAAATTCACTTAACAAATGTCTCACTTAGCAACAGAAATTTTGGGTTTAATTGTAGTCGTAAGTCTTGGGCAACCTGTAGTTTATAAGACTTGCAAGGACTGACGCAGGTAAAAGAATCAGTTGAATAAAAAGCATCTGTAGGAATTCCTGATATCAGTCCAGGAGACAGAGACATATTGTAATAGGACCAAAAAGCGACATTCCTACATTAGATGTCTTAACTGAAATGTGTTGGACTATAGAAATTGTGGGAATTGCTATCTGTTTCCTCGCGCGCGTGCAAGGACAACGGG